GATTTCATTCCCAATTTCGAACTAGAATATGGTTAGGCATTTTTCCTTTTTTTTTTTCTCTCACCATTCAACCAAACACATTCAATTTTGATTTCATTCAACTATTCTTATTTCATTTTGTTTTCGAATTCAAAGCACCTTATGAAATTTCCTCGATTCCTTTTTCTCAGAATTCGAGCAAAAAAGTAACTAAGCAGTTGTCTTTGTCACCATGCAACAAAATATTTTTCTTTTTCAACCAAACACATTCAATTTTGATTTCATTCAACTATTTTTATATTATTTTTATTTGATTTCAAAAGCCTTAATAGAATAATAATATTAATTATACTCAACCTATATCATCAACACCATTCTATTACTTATTACATCGCCACCAATGCTTGTATATAGACGCAATACCCACAACTAATTTTCCCACAAAATTATTTTTCACTTTACAGAATTCTCTCAGGCTAACCCCTTCTTGAATTCTTCACATGTAGGGGGCGCATCTGTCATAATTTGTATATAATTAAATGCAACCCCGACCCACTATGTATGTACCATGTATGATTTTCAAAGATTTAATAAAGAACGAGGCAACTGGAGGGAAGCAAGTTGCATTAAAATATAGGAAATAGATCTAAGGCTGGCACGACTATTCTGGGCACCCCTGTGTCAATATTGTAGGGGCAGAGACCGGACGTCTCTAGTATCCACAGAAGTTATTTTAGCCAAGATGCACTCAATATTTCCGGCCAAGACAGGACGTATCTAATATCCGTCGAAGCTATAAGCGTCAAGCCACCAAACACTTCCTGATGAAATCGGATATACCAGGCAGGGCACAGCTTTCATCAAGGGAAGCCGCCGGCCTATCAGAAGATAGCACCTTAAGTAGGTCAACCAATAGAAAAAGAACATGTGACATCTCTCGACCAATCAGAGAGACACTGAGGCTTGGTGTTAAATCGAAAGACAAGAATTGTCAGTTAGGTTTTTAGCTCTCATAGGAACAACACCTGCAGTAGCGACTTGGCTCTCACCGAGTTCGGATCAGTTGCTCCTTCGCTTCCAACGAGGTGACATCGGCCCTGGACCTCTCCCCACTCAGCTCATAGCTAAGTACAATCACCACCATGTGATCAGTTAATTAACAATCAAAATCGCTCCGCCTTCTCAAGCTTTCTTCCCTCCAATCCAGTTGCCTTTTATTTTCAAACCTCACCATGTATCCTGATTATTCCTAACTGTGTGCTTCACTTACCACTCAACGACTGCGCTTCAACCAAATCTCACCATTCGCATCCAACAATAAGAAACCCCGCAACGATATTGCCACAGAACGGTTAAGTCGACAGATTCTACAAAAGTGTAATACAACAAATATTATAGTGTAATAACAACAACAATTGCATCACCATATTACATATATACATATATATTGATATCTATACGAATATATATGCGTATATAATCATATATATATCAACTATTCCTCTACGCATATATAAACGTATATATTCATATATATGAATCAAACATCTCTCTAACCATATCTATACGAAATTTTATGCGTATATATTCATATATATGATCCAACCACCCCTCTAACCATATCTCTACGCATATATATACGTATATATTCATATATTTGATCCAACCATCCCTCAACCATATCTCTACGCATATATATATATATATATATATATATATATATATATATATATATATATATATATATATATATATATATATATATATATAGAAGCAAAGGGCGCCTCTCCCGTCAAAATGAACGTCAAAAACTGACGCCATCTATTGACCGTCGCCGCAACTAGCGGCCTCGGGTCGGTGACAAAGCCACAACACCAACTTTGGCAAATTGAGAAGCGTCCACCTAGAGACCATGGTTTCGGGCTAATGGCCCTCGTCAGTCTAGGGCGGACTTTATTCCATGAGATCCACACGGGATCTAATGGAATCTTCACAATCTACCAAAGAGGTGTTTTGCTGGCAAGGTGGCTGGGCCAAATCTCTGGCTAGAATATAGATGGAAAATTCGCCGGGAGAAAATTAATCCATAGAAGCAAAGGGCGCCTCTCCCGTCAAAATGAACGTCAAAAACTGACGCCATCTATTGACCGTCGCCGCAACTAGCGGCCTCGGGTCGGTGACAAAGCCACAACACCGCGGTTGCGGCGACGGTCAATAGATGGCGTCAGTTTTTGACGTTCATTTTGACGGGAGAGGCGCCCTTTGCTTCTATGGATTAATTTCCTCCCGGCAAATTTTCCATCTATATATATATATATATATACGTATATATTCATACATATTAATATATACATTATTCATAGATATTTCTCCATTTGAAATACGATATAGATTTGAGCGTTATTCCTCTTTTTTATTATTATCCCTATTTCACGTGGTACAGGCCATGGTAATTCTGGTGGTTATTAGTTAGCACTTTTTTTACTGTAAATTCACCTCATGTTTACATTTGTAGAAAGACGTTAGACCTTTTCACTTACAAATATACCAGAGCCAGGTGTTGTTACTTGCACCTAATGTCGGGGTTAAACCTTTGCAAGAATCGGGGCCCATTTAGGACATTTTTTATTCAGAAAAAAGTGCCGAATGTGAGATTCGATCCCGGAACGTAGATGTCTGAAATCAATGTTTCAGTCCACCTTTTTACTATTATCGTGAATTTTAGCAATGTTTTGTTATTCATTAGTCAATATTTCCATCATCGGAATGCCCGTTTTCCTCAATATTATTCTCGGTCATCCCTGTTGCAGTTACATGGCGATTCTTGAAAAAGATTGTCACACTGCTTGTTGGAATGATGGTAGCAAATAAAACAAATCATTTTATAAAGAAAGAGATAACATATTTTATCCAAATAGACGCAAAAACATACGAAATATATTGGGCATCTATTTGCAATTTTTCACTCTCGGGTTGTTGACAAAACTAATTATGAAATATTGATAATATTAATCTAGAGAAAAAAAAGACCTTTCTCTAACCAAGATGGATTTTGTATTCAAATATTCACAAAAATCATAAATGCCTCAGAAAACAACAAAGAGGTGTTTAGCTAACGAAGAAGCTGAGCGATTCATAGAATCAAAATGTAGATAGAACTCCGCCTTTGCCGGTCCCAAGCCCGGATAAAAAAGGAGGAGGGGGGGTAGCAGTAACAAGCTCGCTAAAAAACCTGGGTTCAGCTGGCCCGGCTGATAGTTACTTGTGAGGGCTCCTAATCCAGGGATACATGATGAGTCTGTACTCCATGTTAGGAGCGGCTGCACATGGCGTCTGTTCCTCATGTCAGAGACGGCCATTTCTTTTGGAGATAAGTCGGCCTGCCACTGGGTAGTGCTGCCAGTCTTAATGACGAAGGCAGACGCATTCTACTTCACCCAGTCATGATAGTTGTCAAACAAGACACCATCGAGGGTCACAACTTTTTACCCTAATATGATTGAGTGAAGATAAGAAAGAAGAAGAAGAAATGTAGATAGAACTTTAGATCAATATTGTCAGGTATATCTAAAGAACATCATTGTTGAAAATTAAGATATAAATTAACCCGATACATTATCGTCATCTATTATAGGAAGACTATTTTTGACTATTTTTATTTTAAAATAAACAAATCTTCACTTGCCTTAATGCAATGATAAAATAATGGGACGACCTGAATAATCAGTAGTAAACCCTCTCAACGGTTTTGATAGTGTTATCTACTATACCGCTGTAATGTTGCATTGGGCTGTTTGGTTTTTATACCGATACTTAAACTCTTGTAAAAGATATTTCAAATGAACTACATATAAGATACGAGGACAGTAGAGATACATATATTAATACAAAGCAATAACGGGCCATATATATATATATATGGAAGCAATGGTCGCCTCTCCCTTCAAAATAAACGTCAGAATCTGACGCCATCTATTGACCTTCGCCGCAACTAGCGGCATCGGCTCGGTGACAAAGCCACAACACCAACTTTGGCAAACTGATAAGCGTCCACCTAGAGACCATGGTTTCGGGCTAATGGCCCTCGTCAGTCTAGGGGGTACTTTATTCCATGAGATCCACACGGGTCCTAATGGAATCCTCACAATCTACCAAAGAGGTGTTTTGCTGGCAATGTGGCTGGGCCAAATATATTGTCAAAAATAGATAGAAAATTTGCCGGGAGGAAATTAATCCAAGGAAGCAATGGTCGCCTCTCCCGTCAAAATAAACGTCAGAATCTGACGCCATCTATTGACCGTCGCCGCATCAGTTTGCCAAAGTTGGTGTTGTGGCTTTGTTACCGACCCGAGGCCGCTAGTTGCGGCGGCGGTCAATAGATGGCGTCAGATTCTGACGTTTATTTTGAAGGGAGAGGCGACCATTGCTTCCATGGATTAATTTCCTCCCGGTAAATTTTCCATCTATATATTATTATATATAATGAAAGCGGTCTCTGAGAAGCTCTCTGGTGGATTAAATTGGCGAAACCACTAGGAGGGTTCACCATCAATGATCCAAGCCCTCCAAATATATTTTTTTCATCGCAGTAAGGACAGTAGAAGTTTGTATTGTGTGATAAAGAAACATTCGTGCTTTTAAATCCTTTCATTTTATAATTACATATATTAATATGCTCCGAACATTGTTCTTAGACAGAAGCAAATGGAAGTATATTTTCTCTAACATAATATTATCCTGAATAATTGGCACGTATTTTAATTCTGTTATAAGTTTTAAAAATATATTTTGAGGCGTATTTTTTAAATAAACAATTTTCAAATCCCCCTTACTGCAATGATAAATACCTTTTGCCGAAGATCAATGACGAAGTATGTTATATATTTAAAATTATATGTATTTCTACTATTCTCAAAGCTTAAGTTTATTATTCATTTACTCTAGTTATTCCAAGAGTTTAAATTCGGTATCGGTATTAACAATATTAAAGCAGTATAGTAGAGTAACACTAGCGAAATGTATCTTCAGTAGTATAGTGGTTAGTATTTCCGCCTTTCACGTGGGCGAAAGGGGTTCGATTCCCAGCCGGGGAGCTTTTTTTTTTTTTCAAACGTGATTCTGGCACATTTCTAAGTGCAAAATCGAAATCTGCTTACCACATAGGTGGACATGTAGTGCACTTACAGTAAAATCAGTCGTCAACATATACCCACTATGATTATTATGGCATGTACCACGTGTACTAGGAATGATAATTTTTAAAAAATTGGTGAAATCGCTCGGAGGGTTCACCACGTATAAGACAGGCACTCCCATTATTTCATCATTTCAGTAAAGGCGGTAGAAATTGTTTAATTCAAATAGCAACATACACGCGTCAAAATAATTTGAATTTAATATATATATATTTTAATTAAAAAGGCATATATTGGTTCAAAATATCATTTATTTTACCAATATTTCAGTTGGCTGAACGCCAACCTTTATCAAGGTATTATAACATATTAACATATTTGAGTCTAAGAAGAAATAGAGCGAAAAATGGTGTGGTATTGATATATAAATTTTAAAAAAGGAATATCCTGACCACACAAATGAGCATTTTAGATTGCAGATCGTCAACTTTTAGTTCATTTTGTTTCCACTAGATGGCTCTCTGCCTTCTGGTATTGATATATAAATTTTAAAAAAGGAATATCCTGACCACACAAATGAGCATTTTAGATTGCAGATCGTCAACTTTTAGTTCATTTTGTTTCCACTAGATGGCTCTCTGCCTTCTAAAATGATTATGTAAGCGATTAGAATATTTCTTTTTCAAAATCTATTTAAGTCTATAAAGGAAACATATATTCATTATGAGTACGACCTCCATGATCTTGTTTAATTCAGACTAATAAAAGGATAAGTAAAAAAAAGGAAACATATCAATATATAATATGGAAATATTATTCTAATTATATATGAAAAAAAGGAAATAGAATTTAGATCATTCTGAAAGAAATCATAAAAAATAACTCCTATGAAAAAATAATATATTTAGATACCAGGAAACTTCATTATATAAATTTTCTTTTGTTTATAATATGCCTTTTAATATCGTAAAATGTTTAATTTTTTAAAATCCATATTACTAATTAATTCTCAATTAATTATATTTAACAATAATTAATATATATATAAAACGCTAATTAATGTATAATCATCGTATATTAATTAGTATTTATTGGAGGTAAACCACTAAATGGGTACTTCTAAAGTTTATTATTCTAATCAAAAATTCAGATTTAAATAACTATAGTTAGCAATTCAAATGTAATTACTCCACATTGACCTCTAAAAACCAATCAAACTATAATTAAATTTATCAAATGAATTTAATGAAGTTTTTTTTTCAATACGTAATAATAAAAAAATTCCAAAAGACATTTTAACATATGAATAACAAACAAATTAATTCTAAACGTTGCTAACCTTAAATTATATAAATTTAATAACTCCTCTAACAATTGAATTAATTATAAATTTAATTAATTTATAAAAAACCCTGTAAAAATAAAAGTTGAAAACGAATCAATTAAGAAAGTTACGAATTAAAAATTAAGTTTCATTAAAGATACTTCAATATTTTCGCAATAATTCATCCCATTTCCTTTCTTTCTCTTTATTATAAAAGATGTTTCTATAAATACGATTTAAAATATAATTATGATTATTGAATACAATTATGATTATTGAATACAATTATGATAAAATAAATATAAATTCAATATAATATAATGCAGCTTGTGATTGTAAAACGACATTTAAAAATTATCCCGCATGAGTTTCTTTTCAATGAAAAATCAGCGGAACACTGTGGGTCGATTCCCATCCCTGGACACTTTTATTTTTCCGTTTATCATTGCTTTTCTAATTTCATCCTTTCATACCTCATCCTTGAGGTTATAAATATTTCCTTATTTCTCCTTTAAATAAATTTTGATTTTTCATTGAAAAGAAACTTATGCGGGATAATTTTTCAATGCCGTTTTATAAATATAAATTGTTGAAGTTATCCAAAACACGATAAATAAACTTTAAACGACAATTTTATTTATTCCTATATATATATATATGTGTGTGTGCATAAAGAAAGTATATCCTGACCAGGAGCACATGTGCTTTACAGAAGGCAGAGCGCCATCTGGTGGAACAGAAATCAATAGATGGCGCTTTGCCTTCTGTAAAGCACATGTGCTCCTGGTCAGGATATGCTTTCTTCATTTTTAATATCAACACCTGATCCACTTATTTTTTATTTTTTTCTATTGTTTTTTTCATATATATGTGTGTGTGTGTGAAACAGTTCTTGGTTTCTTAAGAAACCTCTGGGACCAAAAATATATTTGATCGCAGTGGTACAGCCTACTTCACGTTGACGAGAGCCAACAGTCTTAAACGCGTTCGTGGATGACTTTTCTTGATTTATCAAGAATATAGGTTGGCCAAAATCTCGGAATAGGCTGAATCAAGGCTTAGTTAAATTCTGTTCCACTAGATGGCGCTCTGCCATCTAAAAAGCATATGTGCTCCTGGTCAGGATATGCCTTCTTTGTTTATATTATATATATAACTGGGCGAAACCAAAATATATTAAGATTAAAAATATCCGTCCAATTTACACTAAATATGCAACAACAAAATGCTTTATTAAGACCTTTTGGTCTTATACAGATTATCTGAGTAGAAAAAGATATATACAGGGAAATATCAGTAATAGTAAATGATAATCAGCAATGTTAATGAAAAAATATCAAATAAAGGGAAAGAAGAAATAAAGGATATAGCATAAGCTTTTATAATTTAAACTAAATATTAATAAAAATATCGTTCTAAATTTAGTTCTAATGTTCAAAATTTATTAAATTCAGAATATATCTAAATAAATAACATATAATTAGAATTTTGAATTTAGAAATTAAAATATAGTGTGTGAGAGAAATGAAAATTGATTTTAAAATAGTTATTTCCTAAACAGAATTAAGTTTTGACATATTTCTATGAAGATTTTTCAAAGAATTTAACATTTCTTTAGAAAAAAGGTGTTGTAGAAATTAGTGTTAAGGAATTCCGTAATTTTCTCTCTGCCTCATTCTGTTCCTTATTAACCAAGGTTTAGGCCAAGTTGTAATCTTTGAGGCAGTATTGTTCTTTTACGATTTGGACTGGTGGGCTATTGTTCGTAGTGTCGTAAAAGAAGTTATTGCAACTTCTATATATATATATACACCCTTCCCCGTCAAATATATCCTTTTCTTCTGGCTTCTTCTACATACAATCACCTATCTCTATATATACCAGCAATATCACAATTCCATATAAATATATCAAATTGATTATATATATCATCAATATTATATTTTAAATAATGTAAACAATATGAATATTCAAAATTATTTTAGACGCGTAAGAATCATTTTGAAATTAAACAATTTCTACTGCCTTTACTGCAATTGGAAAATTATTTTTTTATAAAGATTTATTAAGACCTTTTGGTCTTATACAGTTTAACTGAGTAGAGGATGGTATATACAGGGGAATACCAGTAATAATAAAAATAATCAGCAATGTGATATACAATGTATCAAATGAAGCGAAAGAAAAAAGAAATAATAAAGCATAAACCTTTATAATTTAAACTAAATATAAAAATAATTATCGTTTTAAATTTAGTAAATTCAGAATATAAATAACATACAATTAGAACATTGAATTAAGAAATTAAAATATAGTGTGTGAGAGAAATGACGATAGAAATTGTTTTATATCAAAAATAATTTTACGCGTTTAAAATAATTTCGAATTTTCATAACAGATGGCGCGCTAGTGCATCATAATATGAATATTGTATTACCTATATCAACATAAATATATATCAATGTGTTAAGCCTTTATAATTATTTCTACGTTGCATGATATTATGAGATCCTATTTATCAAGTATTATTATAGCCATTTATAATCCTATGCGATGTGCTTATAACTTTTCTTTATAAAGGGGATGCATCGGAAGCTTTTAGCGTTAAAATAATAAAAGAACACTAAACCTTGGTATACAAGGTATGATCAAAAAGTTCGGGGAATTGGTAAAAAATAATTATCTGAAGAATTTTCGAAAATTAAAAAATAACATTATAATCACGAGGCCTCGTTCTACTAGAAAATATTTATATCTTTTCGATATCTCAAATAATAAGAATTTTATAAGCATTTTATAAAGAAAAAAAAAACAACAAAGGCGCGGCGTATATTTCGTTTGTGTATATATTGATATAAATCTCGGTTATATTTTTCTTTTTGCCATAAAGACCGGCTATTGGTATAATATTGTATCTAAACCAATATAAATACATACTATGGTAAGTTTTGTTAAACAGAGTATATTGAATTCTATGGTAAATATCCAAAAATTGCAACAAAAGTACAATAAAAATAACACTATGTATATAAATAATATATATGAAACAGTACTCTATACTACGGTTTAATTTATAATAAAAAATATTAAAGAGTTAAAGAGTATTATTGATATTCAGAATTGACATTCTAGCTAAATATTTTAAGTAATGTGAAAAATAGTACAAACGTGAAATTGTATTTGGACCATGTATATATATATTATAAATAAAAGATGAGATTTTCTGTTGATTTTTGATCATCTTGTAGATTATGTTATGGTAATGCAGTCGTTGTTAAAATCTTGAAAGAATAATAATTAAAATGATTTTGATCATAGATTGCTTTAATTGAGCTTATGGGATATAGAAAAAAAAACATAATTTGATTAAAGTACTGCCTGGCTTAAGGCGTAAGAATAAAATAATGAAAAACTTATTTACATAATGTACAAAAGGTTTGAGCCGGCCATCGAGAAACAACAACACTGAGTTTTTATAGGGGAGCGTAACCTCTGGCGGTCGATTTAGCAGAGTATTTGAATCTATGAAATATAATTTTAAATAAATAATATTTTATTATAAATATTCATTTTCTGATCTTGCAACTAAAGGTTGGTGATGGCTTGCGACACTGCCATAAATAAATCAATAACT